CGAAGTAAGTGAGAGATACGATTCTATTTTAATTAACTAACGACTGAAAAACAAGAGACTGAAAGTCTCAATTGAAAACTTCTTTGCATGAAGTTGGTGATTCGGATTCGTTAAAAGTTGTAATGCCTTTGAGGCGATGATTCGTGTTTCGATATAATTCGCGTTGTATGCCAACTCGGTGGCAATTTTTCATCTCGTGCTTCCGAAAAATTCGAAAACCGCCAACGGCAAGCGAACAAAAACCAGGAAATTGAACGATGATTGCTATGACGAGGCGGATAAATGCCATACCAACTTTTTTTTATTTTCTTCATATATCTGCGCAATTCGCAATTAAATTTAGTTTTCTGTTAGATTAAATTTTAAAAGAATTTTTACCGGCCGCGCGTTAAAAAATTCCCGCAATTTGCCACCAGCAATCCAAAATTTGAACTTTTTATATCAATATAAATGCTAACTGATTTCATAGCTTGGTTAATATCTAATAATGATCGCTTTAATTTCGATTATTTTATTAAGCAGCGATCGAGGTACTTGCAAAAATAATTAAATATTACATGACATCGTACATATTTTGAATAAATTTGATGCTTGTGGTAAACTTATAATAGATTTGCGGATATATGAATTTTTGAAATACTTGGAACAATTATTATTTGCGTATACAATATGTATTTTTCTGCATGTACGGACCTCTCGTTGGAGTGTTTATGGGAGAATTTGGCGGGCGGCTTGGATTAGTCGCAGCGAACTGCCTGTAAAATTAATTAGCGCCGTTAAGCGAGCCGAGAATGGGGAAATTGGCGCGGGAATTCTCGATCTGCGTATTTTCGGGTCCATTATCGGAAACATGGCCGGCGAGAGTCCGACCGACCGACCGACAGACCGACGGATCGGTAAAATCTCCCTCGTAGAATATATCGACCTTCATTTCGGCCTTTACCACATTCCTTGATGAGTCCTCCTTTCGTCGTTGACCTCATAAACTTGTGTGTACCACATCCAAGATGCGTTCTCGAGAGAGAAAACTCGCTGGAGACATTCTCGAGTCGTCGGCTGCGGACAGGATCAGCAATGATGCTGCGCTTTCGTTATCGAGTACTTTCGTTATACATTACAATGACTATACGTTCTTTATTGTAAATTAAAGAACAGTCCTTTACTTCAGGTAGCTCATGTCCTTTAGATTTATTTATTTTTTCAAAACTCAATTATTTTAATACACTGAGAGAAAAATTTCGAAGTAATGCGAAGCAAATGTTACTTACGAAATTTGATTGTGATGACGAAATATATATTTCTGTGAAATATATTTCATTTTTGTGAAATATATTGCAAAAAAATAAAATAGATGGCTTATTTGATAAGAATAAAATGTTTCGCCCGTATTTAAATAAATATTTATTTCAGTGAAATAAATATATTTCTCACAAATATATTTTTAGGTATCTTTTTCTTAGTGTAATATTACGGGAAATTTCTTTCTAATTAGAGCATTCCAATGTCTAATGTCGTAATGAGTGAATATTTACGGAAATAATCAATAACTTTAGTTTTATGCGAGGACATTATTAGCTCAAACAGAACAATAGAGTCACAATGACAATAATGTCAAAATGACGTCAAAATGAGTTGTGATTGATTGAAAAGTGACTTTTAACAATCAAACTGCAGCTATTTTGATGTCATTTTGATGCTATGATGACTTGTGCTTTATTTGGAAGTTATTTCAGATATATTGTGCAAAAAAATTCAAAAATTAATGCGCAGACCTCTGACAGTCACAAACTAATTTTATTTGGAAATATTTAGAAATAAAATCCTAAAATTTTCGGATTCATTCTCTATATTCTCTAAGGAAATATGGTTACTATAGTCATACTTAGCATACACAGCGCAGATCGTTATCGATGATAACTACGTTATTATTTATTGATTTCGGATTTATTAATTTGGAATGATCAAAATATTGAAATAATCAAAATTGAGTCCGCGCGATGTACTTTAATGAAAATAATGATTTTTATTGCGTACTGATTATACGCGATGGAATAATGGTACTGGTTATTAATCTGATTACGCGGTTATATTTTATATGATAAGAACAAAATTGGAGAGAGACAGAGAGATGGTCACATTTGTCGCTAAATGAACGATAAAGCCGCGAGGCATTAAATTTACATTAGCGTATATAGTCACACAGTACTTTTTAATTGAATTCCTTCTTCCCCTCCTCCTCCCTCTCTCTTTCTCTTGGCAGAGAGGAGGCCGCAGAGGAAAAGTTCAATTAAATGGTGCTGCGTTTTCGATTAAAACTTTGTGGAGTAATTTGTTGTTAATGCCGACTATAAATTGTGTGATAAACTCTTTAAAATAAGCCACGAGGGATTCAAATTACAGCAGTTCTCAATAATATATATTTAATATCTGAAACGTCTAGTATACTGAAAAAAATTTACTAAATCTTTATACATATCTCTTCGAATAGTACTTACAATAAGTAAACATTTACTTATAATAAATAAATCTTTGTTCAATAAAAAAAGTGATAGTTAAATCGAATTAATAATACTTTTGCCAAATAAACATATATTTACATTTATTTAGAAATATTCGAACAAATATTTATTAAAATTTAGTATTTTTTTTTAGTAAAAACTCTTACAAATTGTGAATAAAAATTTCTTTTTGTCGAGTCGAGCTTCTGATATAACTGAAAAATTGCAAGCAAAATCTCACTTAATTTATAAACGTTCTATTGTGTGATAAAAAATTTATCATGAGGGAACAATTCATTTTAGACAGCAATTTAAATAATTTTTCCTGGCGCATTTTAGTATATAATTTCCGAGTATGTATTAGTTAAAAAAAAAGGAATAGAATTTATTACATTTTATAATAATCAACTATCAAGATATTCACTTACATTTTATGCTGAAAGAGAAGGACGAAAAGTTCTTCGTATAATTATATAATTCTATTCGTATTAAAATATTTGGTATTATATATTTTCTTTGTAAATTAAATTATATTTCTGGTATAATAACATTTGTTTTTCAATAAATGTTATCGAGGAAATTCCACAGAATTTTATTCGCCTCAAATTTTCAATTTTTTCATTTTTAAAGTCTTGAATAACAGCTATCGATAATAAATCAAATTAAAGTAATTTTTTTCAACAAAGAAAATACATGCATTCTAAATTTAACAAACTTATTTCATAAATTATTGGGAAAATTCATTTGTTTTAGCTTCAGTTTATGATTGCATAATTTCAATTAGTCTGGCAGTAAGCGGTGTGCAATTATATTGTATAACTAAAAGATGTATTTATATATAAAAATATTATTAAGCCCCGAGACGTAGCCTCGTACGGTTCTTTCCTCACTTATTTGATTCATTTATACAGTGATTTAGATTGACTAATTAAACTTCAAACAAATTGAAAAAACTCGTTGAATGCAAACTCACTTAGGATGAAAAGTAATGGTGAATTGATAAGCAGACAAAAGATCTGAATGCATTAAAAATAAAATTATTCACAAAATTATTCATAAACATACGTTAAGAATAATTATATATAAATATGGTATTATGTTTAATGCATTAAGATCTTTTTTCAACTCGTTAATTGATCATTACTTTTCCTGCTAGGTGTGTTATTTTAGAAGCATTAAATTAAAAACATTCAGAAAAATGGATTACTCATAAAAGTACAAATATCGTTATCGCACAACACAATTTCGTTTCAAAAGATTGTGGAGATTAATATACAACATCAAGAAATTTAATATTATCTTTTAATGTGACACACCCATGAATGTTCAGATATCTCCGGGCGAGCGTACACACACAGAAAGATATATATTATACGCAATAATAATTATTTGTTTCAAATATTTCAAAAGTTTATATTATATATCCGCAAATCTATTATAAATTCATTACAAACATCAAATTTATTCAAAATATATTCTGAATCTTAGTAAATTTACTTAGACTGAAATGATTAAATAAAGCAACATTTTGATTTGCTTATTATACATATAAAGCTTTTTGATAAATTTAATAATTTTCTTTTAAGAAAATAAGTTCTTGTTGTAAATACATAATAATGAGTTTTTCTGAAATTTGTAATGAATATATTTTAAGATTATTAAAAAAACTATTTTTTGTTAAAGATAATTATTACTTAGAAAAGAAGTAAATCGAGTAATTACTTTTCTCTCTTTTTTACGCAGCTGGAAAATTTATATTAAATTGAAAACACATTTTACGTGTCCCAAATTCTTTCAAATCTTTTTGTTAATTTAATACAAGATGAATATTTTAGTAAATAACACAAATGTTACGAAAAAAATTAGTACAAAAAATGTAATACCGATATGATTTGCAAACGAACTATGGAAGCATATTTTTTCAAAATTAACATTTATGATGTATTAAATTGATATGCATTTTATTCTTAGAATTTACGTTTTGAGATACATTATTGTTACGTTATTTGTTCACTTATTCACAAATTGTTTTATTTCGACATTAAGAAATATTGAATAATTTAACATAATCGAATAATATTCAAAGAATATTTCAATAACCACATTATGTTGAATTAACGTTAGAATACGTTAAAAATTTAACATAAAATAACAAGGACTTGAATGAATCGTTTCCAACATAAATACGGAATGTTTCTTACCTAGTAATTACAGTATAGAGAACTTTATTTCCCTCCCCCCCCCCTCCGCATGCATTTTCGTCGTTTCTCCGGAGGACTCTGATACGGATGCGGGATGTTATCGGACCGAGGAGGGTGTGTTGCGGCGAAGATTATTATTTAAACTACTCTCTCGAAGACATAAAGGGTTAATGGGTTGTGAGTGTACGATTCGCGCGTGCCTCCCCGCCGAGGCCGAGCCGCGCCGAGCGGCTG